TGATTATTTCATGTATGAATGTAGTGTTTTAGAGTATATGCAAGTCATGTACATCTTATTCAATATTTATGTGTCATAGTGTATTTGATTAATGTATAGTTCAATATGTATAGTTTATATATGTATAGTTTTATAGTTAATCAATATATAGTCATGTATAGTTTCCTTTCTTTGCAACTATACCTTCAAAATGTATCAAATCTCATCATTGTAAGTACCTGTAATAGGATTGTGAGATAAGAGTGGTGATGTGAAATTTTGTAAGTAAAACTGCCGAGACTCAAAGTGCTTGTTCTTGCATCTCTGTTCTCAATTACATAGCTACTATATAATTCATTTGAGGATATTCCTAGTTTTGTCACTGGGTAAGTTTGGATAGTCCACTTTTGCGTAGGAGGGAGATGGACTGAAATATGCTGTATTTGCTCCCAAGCAAATGTCGGCCTTTCTAGTTTTAATTGCATATATATTTGTAGCTAGCAGGATTTATTGACATATTCTATGCATCCACTAACGTTGAGGCAGCTGCCTCCCAAACACAGTCAGTTTGTCATTTTCTTTTTTAACCTGGAAAAATTGGTACCTGGGCCCACGATATCGGGATCTGCACTTTGAAACCAAGGATGTCGATTGTAGGAGGCGGGCCGAAGTCCTTTTCTATTCCGAAGAACGCGATGTTGGTGACCATGGTGCAGAGTAAGACGGACAGGCAACAGGACACCCGCTGGACACGAGTAAAGGGACTGTAGGCAGGTCGTCCCAGCACCGAAGCCCACAGGTGACCATCATTGAAGGCCTTTGGAACACGGAATGAATCATTGTACGAAATACATACTACTACTGTAGACAATATCAAACATCTGATGAAAAACATTGCCACAAGACTAGTCATAATATCATAATATCATGTACATGTATGGGTCCCCAACCTACCCAGACTTTAGCAAGAGAATTTAATGACAAAAAATTGATATTTTTGCGATACTCTTAGATGGATGGTAAAAATAGGATCCCATGAATGTACCTTGGATGTTTGTGACCCAAAGACGTGCCTAAGGGTCGACAGTTGTTCGTCGGTAGCCGACGAGAGCAAACAATCCACCCTTCCGTCGCCTTCCTCCACAGCTAACCATCTGTGATACGCAACAAAAACTGCCTTTGAAATACAGCTTTTAGCAACGGGATGGAGTACAGAAAACTAAACACATATCACCTGGCGTATCTAATAACCTTAGTCCACCTTTTGCCTTCATGTCATGTATTCACATTATGCTGTTTTTAAGTTCTAGACCATGAATCTTTGAACATTACCTCTGACACAGGAAAGAGTACTTCTTGCCATCGCTAAGGTCTTGCAGGATGATTTTGTCCAGGAACCTGTAGATTGGACAAACAACAACAACAACGACAACGTTATAAGATACTGCGCGCAAAATGCAATGGGCAGCAAAACACTTGAGAGAGACTTGGCGTGACAGGTTGCGGTTTAGTGTAGGCAAATCAATCAATGCGGGTTTGATAGTCTGCAGTTTGATAGTTTGATAATTGCGGGTAGTCAGATATCACTCAGTCCAAAGTACTCACCATGACGGACAAGGTCCTGTGTTGTCATGCCAGATGTGCACGGCGTACAAGGATCCCAGGTGGTGACTTGTCGGCAAGATGAAAGTGTCTACTCCTCCCTCCTTGAGAATCGTGCGATCACGGTCCTCCAGTTCATGTGGGCCAGACGTGCCCCCCTCTCCCATCAGCGTCAAAAAGACCTATTGTGAGATATTTTGGTAGTGTTTGAATGCCATATGTACGGGGCGTATATGAGATATTTGGTAGTACTAGTGCTTTAATACCAAATGTACGGAGCGTATTTGGAATATTTTGGCAGTGGTTGATGCCAAATGTTCGGAGCGCATATGAGATGTTTGAATTGGTGGTGCAAGTTATATCCTTTCAAAAGATACCACATCGCTATAACTATAGTGTAGTGTAGTATAGAAATAGCTATAATGTGAAAATGTTCTAGTGAAGAAAGGCGAATGAAACTTACCCTGGCAGATGTGGATGACTCGGATCTCGATCCCGTCAGAACTGTGATCTGGTAGAAGTGATCGTGAAAACGTCCCTGATCTCCGCGAAGGATCGTTGCCCCGATCTGGGAAACCATAGCAGGGGGACATAACTATGGTTACATGCCGTGGTGTTACATGCATCAGGCATGGAACATGAAAGAAAATTTTATTCCCCGTAATTCGTAACGAACTGTATACAATTCATACAATTCCATAATTCATAGCCAGGTGGGCAAATTGTACCTAAATTCCTTCATGTATTTAATAATGAAAATCGCTGTCGGGTCCCCACATCAATTTTTAAAAAGTATGCAGTGCTGTACTGTCTGTAAAGAATAAAGATTTATGATATGATTTAAATGGTATAACTAAGCACTGATGATGATGATGATGAAGCAACGATCTGTAAGAAAAACTTTAAAGCAGCGCAAACGCGGATCACATACCTTCTTTTTTTATTTCAAACATGCAAAATACAATACATAGTGATGAGTACTACTAGTGACGCACTCAAGCAAAATGCTTATATTCACGTCACCACTGGACATAAGATAAAATTTACATCACAAAACATGGGTATCGTCCAGGTAACAAGAGAACAGAGTTTAGCTATTAAGATATTATAAATTTATACAGAAGTATAAATCAGTTGTTAAATCGCTTAGATTCAGAAAGATATAGCTGTGTAATAATGAGTATTTGAGAGTTGACTTATAATGACATAACAGAAGACTTACATACCTTCTTTGAATCTTGTCTGTCTTTGCGCCGGGCCCAGATCACCACGAGGATGTAGATCCCGAACAGAACGCTGACAGCGATAATGACAACTGGGTTCTCCGCTGGGTTCACTAATGAAGGGATGTTATATTGCAGTCAGGAAAAAATGACATGAATACAGATATTACAAAAGGCCTTGGCTTCTTTCAGTTCCTCAATCCTGAGCTATCTGATGTCCGTACGTCTAATATGAATGAATGAGCTTGAATGAGGTGTTTGCCTTTTACTACATATTTGTTATACCTTTTATGGCGATCATTGAGTGTTTGGGGGATTGCATTAGATGTGTGTTAGTAGATGTTAGATCTTACGTTTTCGAAGCGTCTCGAGGATGTTGAGTTTGTTCGGTGCAATGAAGAATGTAAAGCCGGACCCAAACGCTGTCAGATGGTCGCACCGGCAGTGGGACAAAGCGGCGCTGCTGAGAGGACCGGGCTGTACATGGGCAAGGAATCAGAATAAAAGCAAACACAACCTCTATGTTACGTTTCATCACCAAACGTTGTTTTTGTATTCTGATTGCCTAATTGCTTATTTCATCATTGCAATATGATGGTTTTGATTAGGGTTTTCAGGAGAACACAAACCTGGCAACCGTCTGACTCGAAATCTTCGCTTTCCTCGTTGAAGTAGAGACATTGTGTGGAGAAGATCTGAAGTGTGTAGTTCAGAGTGAAGTTCTTTCCCTGATACTCAGGAGAAACAGAGGGGCTTACATCGCCTTGTTCAGTTTGCGGTACGTGCTCCACCCCTGAATTGTGTTGAAAAGTATGTCTTAAAGAGTTTGCTCAGTGCAAAGCCACACATGCCAGTGCCAGGCACTGAACTAGCGCTCACTGCGGTATTTCTCCTCCATAGAAAAGCTTGACTTACTGACTCAATAGGGCAAGAACGGGTTACAAAGGCAGCTCGAGAAATTCTTTAAGTGTCTTTCTCATGGGCACAAGATTGATGGCAGGATTCGAACCTGGGACCTCAAGGCTCGTTTCTGAGCCCAATACTCTGGCGCTTACGACTCCACTTTTGTTGTGAAATATTTGAACTTTGTAACGAGGCTTTGATACATATATGGTATGCATGTGAACAAGAACTAAAATCTTATCCATACAATTTTACACAAAATCCATTTTTATAGCTAATTTTGAATGGTGCGTGCGTTAATACCTAGGTAGTGCATGTGCTCCACTGGATCCTTAGGGTCTACGTCACTTCCGGGTATGAACCACGTCCACCGGTCAGCTGTCATGGTTTCAGTTGGGCCCAATGACAGGGTGAACAGGTCGGCATCATCTGAATGTTATTACACAAACATCACATTCCTTTAAGTATTTGTATGCAAATATGAAGTCTGTCAAAGTCGTCCATGTGCGGTCCTGGCGTGTGTTTTTTTCCCCCACAACAGCGATTCTTATTCTTAGAAGTAACCAAATACAGTACATGTAATACAGTTAGTACACTTTGATAGCTTTAAACAATGTTTAGAGTTAGATATTCAAAGGTTAGGTGTAAAAAGTCGTTCGGTGTAATACAGCTAGCTGCCACCGCGCCGCGTGCCTGCGAAGCTGATGTGTTACATCGGCTATGCAGATACAGATACAAACCTGGCAGTGGTAATGTTGTGTTCCTGTCGAACTCGTCAATCCGGCGTGGTTCGTCCCCTCGCTTCAGGTACAGTCGGACAGACACATTCGCCAGATGAGGCGTCACGGTGAGGTACAGGGATCTCCCCTCAGTCATGTTGAACTGGTGAGTCTGTAAAATTACAAGCATCATTTACCGACAATGCAACCGTGAGTGGGTCTACTGGATGGGTCACTGAAAAAAGAGAACTGCGAAATTTAGGGCTATGTACTAGTAATAATAGCCGTTTTTGTCAGAGACAAAACGGACAATCAGAATTATACGTTAGATGAGTCTAGCAAGGATAGTCTAATTGCTTGTACGTCAAACATGTCTTTTTAGTCAATATAGAACACATGTATGAGCACATGTATAGAACACGGTATGGTAAAACAGTGCTGACCATAAATCTTTACGGGGTAACAATTCTAGGAAAACAAGATCGCATAGTTACACTTATATTTCCGCTCCCAGATGGTGCCGTCGTCCCTAGCTCGGTCATTGTTCGTCCATTCTGGGATGACTCCGACAAGCGTCGGGTGAAAACCTCCACAGGATCTGTTAAGTCGCGGATCTCCAAAGGCCTGCCGTTCCGCAAGAACTGTAGCCCTCCTACTTCTGACTTGACATCGTCAGACGTGTTGGCAAAGGCGTAAGGGTTCCGTGGTGTTTTGAAATTCTTGAAAACATACAAAAAGGATTAGTTGAGATGATAACTCAGATGATCCTTACATGAGCTAACTACACCGATACCTAGACTGTGTCTACACAATCTGTCACTGGCTGGAGTAAAGGAGTGGGTGATTAAAAATCTAGCACCAGCAAAGAAAACCATCTTGATAAGAATCTATTTCCTACCTCTATTCCGACGTCTTCCTTTGTTTCACAGCTGTCCCCAAGCAACCCTGACAAGCTGGATACCACGAAAAACGTAGAGCTTCCCAGTTGGTCATTTGCCCGGAAAACCTGCGGTTGTCCGTTGGTAGAATCACACCGCTGTTTTTCAACCGCCAAGTTAAATTCACCGACAGAGAACGTCGTCGGGCTCTCCCCCGGGACTTTCTGGTCTAGTACAGCAGCGTTCAGCTGTCCGATTGCATCAAAAGTTGTCTTTGTGGCAATTTTGTTCTGTAAACGAGACGTATGCAAATTAGAAATGTGAAGATACGGCGCCCCTTAAAACCTTGGTAATTTTTTTTCCGATATGCAATTATTATAACAGACAAAAAACCTCCCGTCAGTATCCGGAACTTCTTTAAATTACTACTAAATATCCAGTGTCGCTTGGGGAATAAAAAGCAGTAAGAAACCAAAAACGTAATTTGATAGTATAATGAGAGTTGTTCCCACCTTGTCTAAGTGAAGGCCTCTTGTTTCAGATGATGGCAGCTCTTTGCTCTTTGTAGCCGAGGCTGTTGAAGCTCGAAGTATGTTCACACAAGCTGTTGGACCAAACAGAAAAAAATAGGTCATCTATGAGTAATATATACATATTATATATACATACAGACCGTACCGAAATAAGACGTCAAAAAAATTGTCATGAACTAAAGATAAGAGCAAACGTGCGCTTGCCTCTCAAAAGAACCGATGCCGTTTCCTCCAGTCTTTCGGGACCTACATCATCTCTTTCGGGTGTATCAAGAAAGTTTGACATCTGCAGCACAGTTTTAGCTGCAGTCTCCTGTAACAAACCAATAACATTCCACACTTTATGATTCACATCTGTGAATGAAACGTTATGGAACGTTGCCATTATCTTTTACATTTAATTGCAAAAATATGTAAGCAGCATGTGTATAGTCAAACATGTTTTATCGAGCTTCAGTGCATAGTGACTACCTGGCCATGGCCTCTTAGACCTTAGGGATACTAGTATTGGCCCAAGCATTTTGTATCCTGTCCATTGTGTCAATTTTTGACAAGCCCCTCAGGTGGTCACTATGGACGGGTTTGACTATACACACATGCTATGGATAAGCTGGAGTTTTGTCGGTAAACACAAACCTGAGATTGTGGAGTAACCTGTTCCTCCAAAGCCGTTGCCAGGCCCAAGGCACCAGCCACCTGGTCGACGTTGTCCAGACTCTGAACTGGAATCTTTGTCATTGAGTTAATAAGTCCGTCACGTGCCTGAATATAAAAGTAAAAACGTATAGAAAATAAGGATAGAGTGAAAGAGCAGAATCTGAGCAATTGATATTGTAACAAACAAACAAACAAACGCTAACAGGCTAACAGGCTATCGGCTGTTATAATTAAATATCGTATAGTACGATAGCTGCATGGCAAGTGGTAAGTTTTCTTCAAAACTCGATACCAACATAGTTTAAACATAGTTCATTTTACTATCTATCCTTGCCCAGCATAAGGGACATCCGATGGCGGAAAGGACTGTAACAATCAGCTTCATTTCCAGGGTACCTTTGAAAGTGTATCGTCGCTGTAGCTGGATGTGTTTGCTGCGTTGAGGACAGAACTGAGACTGTTGGTGAGCTGAAGGAGCCCGCCGTTGTCCCCAGTGTCAAGTAGGTTCTCCAGCGTATCGTTAAGGCTGCTGAGCTTCGCTTCCGTATCTTCCACACTCGGTTGACGGACCTTACAACAGAAGGATGGAAAAAAAGATTAAAGACAAATGTTTTTGGGTGAGTAAGATAGAAATTTTTCAATAATTTTGAAAGCTCTGTGATGACTGTACATGATTTTATCGTGTCATGAATTCAGGTCGAGCTTCAACCATCATTAGTCGGCTTAAATTGTTGTATCACTACTTTTACAATAAATTGAAACGAAACAAATACATTCTGACGCAATGGTGTCGAGTACAATCATTTTTAGTTAGAGTAAAGTTACACTCGCCTTCATGACAAAACTCTCCTACTGGAACTTACCCTTGAATGGTTGGCATTCGGAATAAACTTGCACATAAATCTCACATCACATCATCTTAACATCACAGCTTCAACTTTACCTGTACTTTGATATTTCTGATAATTGATGTTGCACCCAAAGCATCCGATACACGAACTTCTAGTGTGACGTTGAAGTCGCGATGTTCCTGTCCGGCTGGAAGAAGCTGGGGTAGAAATTGTTCGGTCTGCGACGAAAGCAGGGAATTCATCAATGATATGATTGGGTATCCTATCTGCCTGCTTCTTTTATTTACACTAAAACACATGGGCTTTAACCCTATCTAGACCGGGGGGGGGGCTAAAAGTGCCCGCGCCAACTTTGATGTCGGATAGCGTCCGAACGACTTGCACTAAAACCACCAAACTTGGTGACTTTTCATAAAATATTGTTGGCAATAATTTTGTATCAGTGGAATGAGATAATTATTTTTTGTGTTGCCATGGCAACGGGTTTCTGACGGGCACTTTTGGCTAAATTTAGTAATTTTCGTTTCAACAATAGAATTTTCTGGATTTTATGTCAAGTTACACATGGTTTCTAATATAAATAATATCTCATATAATTTTATATCAATTTCATCATTAAATATGCATAATTTATGCTAATTTGATAACGTCATTGGCCAAAATCCAAGATGGCGGACAACATCATTAGAAAAGGTATAAACAGGTTATTTTCCTTAAAATTTCATCATTACTTCCATTTCTTTTTACAAAAAAGGTTCATTTGAACGTCTTACGTCTATATTCAATGTATTTTAGCCTTTATCTTTGAAAAAAAACTATTTTCAAATTTCGAGTTTTATAATCCAAGATGGCGGATAGCCTAAATATGCATAACGTCATTGTATGACGTCACTGGTGTTGCTATCGGCAACATAAGTCTTAGTACACCCTAAAATTCTATTATGAATACTTTTTGTTCAAGTCACGTTGTATACCATTGAGTTTTTAGGGAATAACCTATCTATACGGTTTTAGCCAATAAAATCACATTAATGACGTCATAATGACGTCATATTACGTCATAACCACATTAAAATTGTAGTTATGATAAATTTTTACTAGTACACCATCCTCTGAAAATTTGGTGGTCATACAATATACCGTTCGCGAGTTCTGCGGTCCCACGAAGCCAAAAAAAAGCCCGGTCTAGATAGGGTTAAAACAACATAGTAGATGGCTAATAGGACGGAAAAAACTGAGCAGCATGCATGATTGTCGGATTGCGTACCATTATGTTAAGATTAAAGATTACGACAGGGTCTACGTTCGTACCTAACTCCAGAACAGTTAGGTTGAACAATATTGCTATGTATATGAAGAATTTGCGATAAATGTATCGAATTAAGTGAATATATGTAGAGAATGAATAATATAGCACCCGTAGAACGTAAACGAAATGATAAATAGAGAATTATTATAGTGGGTAAGACGTGGGTATCTACCGTTCCCGTATGGAGCAATGTGTAGGCGTTGTCACCCACATCGTTGTTAAAATAAAGACTGTAGACCAGAGGCACATCATCATCGTCGGCTCCTGAGGAAGAATTCAATTGCAACCCGTATTAATAGCATTATGTATATGCACCATTTGAGAATACTTAAATACCAAATGATTTGTGCTGAACGTTTGAAGTTTGATTTACCTTCGCACCAGATGCCAAACTGCGTTATCGTTGAAAAACCTGACGAAGGACTGACGGCACAGAACCCGACAGTAGGGGGTGTGTTGACTCTGAAACTGTGCTCAGAAAAACCGGTTCCCCCAGGTGCGACGTTGGAAGTCACAGTAATCCGGAAGGTGTAGCTTTCTCCTGCCTGGAACAGGACAGATATTATTAAATCAAAATAGTCTAGACTATACTATCTGCTAACCGTGAATCGTACTCATCGTGTACTGACTGAATCACTGAATGAATGAACTAATAGTAGTATTACTAGTTAAGTAATGATAATGCCAATGAAGACATGCGTAAAGGACGGTACCTCAAAAATGTTGCTGCGAACCACTAGGTTCGGTGACGTGTTTCCGGTTGTCGTGTCCACATCCCAGTCGATGTGCTTGTCTCCCGTCAGGGTCCAGAGGTATGTGGTGTTTGCTGTCGGGCAGTCGTCACACTGGGTCACGAGAACTAGCCTCTCAGATGGGCTGACTTTGGTTTCACAGTTTGCAGCACACCTATAGGATTACCAAAAAGTACCCCTAACAACACCGATGGAAGTCACGCATCATTAAGCATCAGTTCATTAGATACTGCTTATATGTCAATTTTGTGTATATGTAGCACGTATCCTTTAAATATGAATCGTCTTCAAATGGGTTTCTCATACCTGAAATAATTAAGAATTAATGAATTAATGCATACTCCGTGTGAGGTGGTCAGCACAGTTCCTACATATCTTCATCAAGTTTTTGGGCGATAAGAAGACAAACAAGAAGAAGCACACCTTAGCTCTATAATGCAGAGAACACGTCTTACCGAATGGCGATGTTGAGGACAACCCCGCCTAGTAGGGAGACTGACTGTGAGGTCCGTGAGGAGTTCCTCCCGGGAAGGCCGACCTCGACCGTGAATGTCAAGATGTCATCAGGAAATGACGCAGTCTGAAGTTTTTCATAAACGGCACTTTGTCTGGCATCAGGGAATATGTCGTTGCATGATGTCCCTGCAAAAACAGTTATCGAGTTTTAGTGCTGCCATTTAGTACGTCTATTCCGGATACCGCTACCGATCATGGCTGCCATATAATATCAATAAAAGTTGACACGTTAAGTTAATGTCAAGTAAATGTCAACCGCTCATATCAGAAGAAATGGTTCCGATCTTCAGTTCAAATCTTTACTTAACCGTGCCTTAATGATTTAAGAGTCCCGATGAGAGACTTACCATTAGGCGTCTGACAGGTCCAATGAAAAGTGAAGTTTCTGTAGTCGTCTATGTATTCATCCGGATCATACGACTCTGATGCATTCAGTACCAGAACACCATCCCGACTGACAGATTTAGCAGAACCACCGGCTATATGCGCAACTGGGGCCGATGGTGTGATGATAACCCACTGTTTTTGGACCTGTGACTTTTTGCTTCCAGTAGTCGGGAAGTCCATGGTAGCGTTCAGCTCAACAATCGTGGAGCCATAGCCCAAGCTGTTTCTCGGAATTGTGATGTCTTGCGAATCACGCACAACTTTGTTAGGAAAGTCCAGCAGCTGCACTACGTTACCCATAGGGTCATGTTGGAAAATGTTCCACTCATATGTGACGCGGTAGGTCTGATTGCAGATGACGTTGATGCGGCTCCGTATGGTGAAGGCTGTCCGCCGCGCGATCTTCACTGCTGAGGATTCACTGCTTCCTCCTCCAGACAGGCTGATGTCAGGGACGCAATCTGTCAAAATACATTTGATCACAAGGAAAGAAGTTGGACATATATCAATTTGAGAAATTCATCACATACATTAAACCATGATTTGGGTATGAGTGTCATAGAGCTAGAGGGAGGATGTGTGGATAATGTTTAGTGCATATTTTAGTTTTGTCCTTTTGATCGTGCAATGAATTGCCAACCGGATATAGTGCTTCGCATGCCCATCCTGCAGCAGAACGTGCAGAACTAGAACTAGACTACACAGCAACTTGAGGACCTGCACTTTTAGATCTTCGGACCTGAAGAACCAGTCATCGTCATCGCATGAAAGCGTTGCTGGTGCGTTGCAAATCTTGTTGATCCGTGCATAGCTAATAACTCGATATGTATGGACGAAGTGAAGTTATAAATAGAGGCCTGCCAATGCCCAACATTGGAGAATGTAAAAAATGTAACAGCTTAGCCATAAAATAGCAACTTACCAACGCATGTAGGCTCTGTAGCACTCCAGGTCTGGTCCGACTGGCATGTCCGTTGTTTATCACCACTGATCTCGTATCCAGGGTCACAGTGATACGTAACGACGTCCCCATAAGAACTATTGCCGCTGATGTTGCCGTTAGAAGGTGCCATCAGTTGTTGGCAGAGCTTTTCTGTAAGACGGTTAAACACTGATGTCATATATTAATATCTTTTATGGGACAGTAATCAACCACACACTACTACAAATAATACAACACGTAAATTAATTTCCCTAGCTTGTAGCTATTTTTGTCACCAGCATTGTGGTCTAGGACATGAGCAGGAAGCAATTGATACGATAAGTGCTGTTAAAGACCATTATTAGGTGTAATGAAAACATTGCAAACAGATAATCAATTCCGATACAAGACAATGATGTCGAAGGGGGTTACTTATACTTACTGTTGCAATTGGGTTGTACACCAGACCAGGTCAGGTCGGCACGGCAAGTTCTGTTTTCAGAACCGATCAGTTCGTAGCCTTCGTTACAGGAAAAGGTGACTGTGTTTCCGTAAAGATGACCCTCTGTCCTGTTACCGTTGTTTAGAATCGGCAGCTGTGGGCAGGCTTTTCCTGAAAAAAAAAAACGCACATGATGGCCTTAATACTACTATGAAAGGCTACGCTCCATGTCAGACATATTTGTTTCCAAATACAATACGAGTGGTCACAACATACTGGAGCAATGAAACTCAACAAGGCACTAGTACCTACCGCTATGAAAACAAAACTGTTAAGAATGACCACTTACTGTTGCAATTCGGCTGTACACCGGACCAAGTCTGGTCAGCCTGGCAAGTTCTGTTTTCAGAACCGATCAGTTCGTAGCCTTCGTCACAGGAAAAGGTGACTGTGTCTCCGTAAAGATGACCCTCTGTCCTGTTGCCGTTGTTTAGCAATGGCAGCTCTGGGCAGACTTTTCCTAAAAAAAGATCCTAAGTAGCTTTATTTATGAAAGACTACGCGCAATTTCAGACAGATTGTTTGCCAAATACAATATGACTGGTCACAATCACTGCAGGAATGAAACCCAAAAAGGTATCTACCACCATTACACAACACTGCCAAATACGAATTATATAGCATTTACCCATTTTAGTGACAGTTCATGATCATATCTTCTCTTTTCTAACATATCATCTTTTCATAAATTATGCAAATGAATGAATTATACTTAATAATGTTCACTTAACTTTTAAATGCGGCAAGTATTAATTTCCCAGCAGGTACATTTTGACATTATAGCAATTCCCCACTAATTAGGCAAATTAGGTGCTCATTTACTTAATAAATGGGCACCTAATTCTACTAATACTGCCAGTGATCCACTCTTTCTCAATTACATATGTCACAGTCCCATCATCGAACAATCAGATTTAACGAATTTTCTAACCAATTATGCAAATTAGATCCTGATTTGTATAATTGATATAGTCACGTCAAACATCAAGTTCACTACCTACATACCAAAAATCACTACAGTCCGTCAACCGGTTCTTGAGTTATCCTCCGTCAAAGATTTTCAACGAACGCTCCTGCAGCTCTGGACATGCTTCTAGGGGGACTAAACTAATGTCACTTCTTTCCAAGCATAAGAGCTATCTTCCATGTAAAATTCATGACCCTAGCATGTCTGGATCATGAGATGTCAAACCAACTCGAAATTCTGCGAGTGAGGTCCTGATTTGAAACCGGAATGTTCTACTGCAGTACCAAGGAATGCCGCCAGATTTCACAACAGTCCATCTATAGCTTTTTAATCGAGTTACGCTGTTCACAGACAGGCAGACAAACGATACTGAAAAATTACCTTCTGTACGACATAATAACTGTAACCGCCGATGCTCTCAAACTGAGGCGGAATTAGCACTGAGCTACATACCTCTTTAACATGTCACTTTTTTTTTAAATCACAGTCCCTTCTTAATTCATACGAGTCATCATTTGACAAATTCCGTTTTCTACTTTAGAACAATGACCATACCTGCCGTAAATTATTTAACACCATTAGAATCATAAACCAGAGCATCAAAATACAAGTCGATTCAGTACTAACCATCGACATCTACGACAACCTGTGGGCTCCCCTCACTTGGATCAGTTGATAACCTGTAACCTTTGCTGGGCCAGGAAAAACGATAGTGTAGCCCAGTATAAACATTGTATACATCAACCTGGAAAGAAAAAATATTAATGGCATCAATATGAAAAACTTAAACCAAACAGATATGAGTGTATTGACATGATATATATGTAGTAGTCTGTTCAAAGTTCATAATGTTATATTAGCTTACCCAGTCAAGTTTGAGCCAGTCCTCTCCTGAAATTGTAAGTCGAAGCCTTGTGGGATGACCGAAATTGGGGGCGGCAAAGGTTCGATCGTACTCGGTGCTTTGATGTTGTGCATGTGGGAAGATACAATCAAAGATTCATTGTATGAAATACAGAACTCTTGTGAAGGGTTACAGATTTAACTGTACAGATAACTCATTCACCAGATTGTCACCACAGGGAAAAGTGTACTTAAATGGTTGTAAATATAGACGTCTCATCCAACTCTGGGCAATTTTTACGAAAAGATGCCATTTAAAAAAGGCGAACCATCAGACCGAGACTACGTAAAGCAGCTATATACAAGCTACACGTATCTTATATGACGTACCCAACGTCCGTAAGTCCGGATACAGTTGTGTTCGTGCAGACATCATCACAAAGGTCAGAGAAGATTTCAACTGTCAAAGAATCCTCACTGGCATCGTAGACAGACGTATTGCTGGTCCTGAGCGTTAGGCTGTTCACTGTTCAATAAAAAAAAAAACAATATACAGTCAGATCTGGTAGGGCAACTTCCTCCTAAGATCTCCTAAGGCGACCACCTTTCTCGGTGCCTTGAAATTTCTCCATAGACACAATCACAACACTACTCTCCAAGCAGAGGTTTGGGTTTGGTGTTACTTTTGGAAAAAATATTTAGTTTAAAAGAGAAACCCCGATAAAAAGCCTAAAAACACGCTAAAAAAATTCCAAACCCAAACCTCTGCTTGGAGAGTATCACAACACCACAAATAGCATGGTTACTTCCACTGCTTTAAACGACCACGTAATTTACCAACATGTAGCCAAGGTAATATACTTGTTTGGCATTTTGTGATGTCGAAAACAAGAAACACAGGAATTAAAAAAAAATGTTTTGTTTACTTATCATTATATTTGAAAGAAAAGTCAGACGTAAAAGGGCTACTGGAGCAATCAGACTGAGTGTATACCCGACCAAAGAAAGAAGAACAAATACCTGGCGAGGTGCTGTAGAGGTTGAGTTCAGTCAGATAAGGTTGCCAGCCCTCGTGGGTCCGGGTGACCACGAACCTCCAATACCGCGCTGTTCCCTGGAACCCGCCGAACTCTTGCCTCTGGTCCGTCCCTCCCTGCACGTTATCGACAGACAGGACGTCCTCCCAGCGGTACGGACTCCCAACCTGAGACTTCTGCAACGTGAAGGCTGCGATGTCGTGGGTGGTGTCTCCGTAACTGTTCACTGCGATGCGAGTCAGATTTTGAGGCGCTGCGATGTCCAGCACGATGTACCAGTTGCTGTGGTTCTGCCCGGTATCTATGACGTTCCAGTAGGTACTAATGTTTCCATCCAAGGCTTTTGCGGCATCGTATGTCACTCCGTTGTCGACGAACGGTGTGCCGGTGGAGTCCACAACCCATGAAGAATCCCGTCGCAGCCATATTCCTGCGGAAGAGGGCGCAGAATTGATAAGTAACACGATCGGGGGCAACAACCTCATTGTAGTGGGGGTGGTAACGTTCTTAAACCATCGTTACGTCACACGTATAGCTTTTTTTAATTTCCCGCTGTCGCCACCTGTCACGTACAGTGCAGATGAAAAGCGATATAACTGTAATATCTAATTTGACAAAACGTTTATACAAAAGAAGTAACAAGCAGAGGAACATGTTAAGAATATGCAATAAACTCAACGAGTCAAGTGCCAATCCAAGGACTTTCAACAGAAACCTACCATTAACGCTGCAACCTAGAACCTCCACCCTCATACTCATCCAGCCATGCCAGGATTGAGGCAGGAAGCGCACGTACCGGGCATCAGTGGGACTGTCCAGCAGGTTGGTTACGGGAGTGTACCTGTTGGTGTTGCCTGGAAACACCTGGACAACAAAACAATAAATAATACCATTTTTTTTTAATCCTTCGCATTATGTGTATGTGCCAACTCAATATGACTCTAGAGGACCTGAAGAGGATCGCCCACGACTGTCAAGTATGGCACAGGACGCTGTGCAGACGAAGGACTGACTTTGACACAGGCCACTCGCTAAGCCGAGGAGACCTTCTCAAGTACAAATAAAGTAAGTAAAACTGGGCGCCGGTGCACTCATTAAGACAAACAATATCAATGGCAATTCAAATCTCAACCCTAGAGGTAACATTTGCAGCTGTTATGGCTCTTTTTTCGTAACATTTTAGGACGAATTTATTCTTCTGTTTGATGTAGAAAAAATGGATATCTTTGCAGATAACGCGCGTACGTTAACCTACCTCTTCGGAGCCATCGCTACTTGCATACGTGATCCAACTGAGGCCATCTACACTGTACTGTAGTTTGTAGGAGGTCACCCACTGGTCGTAATTATGATAGCGACCCTGGATGATGGTGCCTGTGACGGTCTTCATTTCTCCTAAATCCACCTGAATGCATAGATGTTCTTCGTTATAGAATGCACGTGAAGTACAAGCCGGGAAAGTTACTACATATCTGGATAGCGTGCACTGCAAGCTAAAATTAGCCCACATTGTGCACAGTAATGTATTGTCAGTGCAACAAAGCATTGATTTTCACATTCTAAACACAACACAGGATATTGTTCGGACAAGGAAATTCGAACTTATCACCTTAGAGGAACAGCGAAATTGATATCGTGTGTGGCGCAATAATCCAAACAAAAATCGGGATTTCAATAATATGATTATAGTTAAGTATTTAGTTTACTATATAGTTTGTGCTAATGAAAAACACATAATCAAATGTAGTGTTACCCATACGATTGTATGAGGGAACTTATTGCACTACTACACCATGGTTTCCATACATTCCTGGCGACCGCATGCATGGCACACCCGTTCATACGGACTCATACCCCTGTCAATCAAACTCTAAACCCAAACTCCACCTACTCACTTTGGAACTCAAACATACAGATATAGCGCTAGCATAAATTAGCGATACCTAAAATAATACGTCCCCATTCTGGAAGTAACAGGTAGAATCGTGGTTGTTTAATGTACCAAAATGCATGCCAACCTGTAACCATTCCCCGATGGTGTTGGTTGCAACTGACCAAGCGCCCTCACCAGCAACTCCGTTCAACCGACCACGGTAGGGCTCGTGATTACCACAACAGAAAGAGGATGCGGTGATGCTGTCATCAGGTATGGCGCCAGATTCCATCCCAAGGGGATCTGTGCAGACTGGAAAGGCAAGAAAACTCCGTTCAGTTTAGTTAGAAAACAAAGGTCGCCTGTTAATTCCCTGTCACACATATGCCATGTGTAAACTTTGCTGTGTGGTATAGAAACATGTCGGCCTTCACAATGTATAATTTGGATTTCGGAGATTGGTTTGGGGGTTCGCCTAGTGCTCCGGCTTCGTGTATGTGTGACGGAGGCTTTAGGTGAACATGCTTGTGGTACTTCCCGAGTAACCCTGTCGTCACGGAAGCAGTCCGCTAAAGTGCAAAATGACAGCGTGTTGATTTTACCTAAAAGAATTGTCACAAGTCAACTGGATGTCTAAGGGATCCTTCCCAAAATGGCGTGAAAGAAATTCCTCGTCCGTTCTTCTGCATGAGGGTGAGCCAAGTGACCTTGGTCAGTTTAAGGGAGAGTATGCCAACAACTATAATGACTTGTTGTTGGTAGATATATAAAGCATACCTAGACCAAATTTCAGATGATTTTAGTGCAATACCAGGTCTCCAGGACCCTAAATGTACAGATTTTCTCAAAAAATGCCCAAAAACCCAAATAAAACAATTTTAAATGCCTGTATCGAAGAAATAAAAAAAAAACAACGCCTAGGGGTTTTGACTACTCTACCTTCATACCAAATTTCATATTATTTGGCCCAAAAATGAAGGAGTTGAATCAATTTAAAGAAATGGCAGGAGAAGAAGAAGGAGAAGAAGAAACATTAGGAAAAACAACATGACTTCACCACATAGTGGTGAAGCCATAATGAATCGTGATCAGTGAAACGTTTTCACAGAATATACCCCTATCACGATACATCACATCACATTTACATTACAGGTTCGCTACATACCAGTGATGGGAACTTCACAAGTTTCTCCTTCGTAGCCCTCGTCACAGGCGCAGGTGAAGTTGTCTGCCCCGCTCGTGCAGGTCCCATTGACGCACGGGTCTGGGCGGCAATAATCCACAGCTTCCAGAAGTTCATGTATGGGGAGAATGGAACGTTTTAGAATGGAACTATAAAATAGTAGCCGGAAAAAATTTTAAGGTTGTCCTGAAATGTTCAGAACTTACTGAAACAAACAACTTTCACAAATGTAAATAAATTTACAAATATTGCAAAATATTGCAACATGAGCACAACCATAAAAAGCTATTAAATTGATAATATGCAATAATTAGGTAGAATAAGAAACAAGCTTAGTGTGCACATTTTAGTCATGTGAGCTGCGGTCCATCGAAATGCAAATGCAACCAACATGCCAGTCAGTAGCTGCCCGCTTCGTTGATATGCAAAGTATGAAGTGACACCGCTCCATATAGTATACCATAGCTATATATGTATAAAGTAACTATAGCGAAGGCCTACCCGAAAAGACTTGGACTTGACACAGAGTCAGTATTCGGGAGGGTCCGGGGAGACGGACGCCCACATACCGCCCCCTCATCCCCTGACATGAGACGGAAATGGACGGCTGGTCCAAGGCGATTTGATGATCACCGCCACACTTGGGGTTCTCGCTGACCTGGTCGGAATCCCCGATGTGGATGTTGAAGGGGTTGAGTCGTTCAGCACAACAGTCCTGGCGGTTGAAGATGGCCACTCTGTAGATATTGAAAACAAAGTAATGATACTGGAGTTTACATACTAAATTTTAGTGTTTAAACGGATGTACGTTACTGCGTTATCATGGAACTTATTTGACTAGACCACCCATCACCATCATCGCGAATGGTATTGGGACTTGCATCAAGAGTCTTTCCTTTGCCAAGTTTTGATTTACATATTGACGTGTGTGTGTGTGTGTGTGTGTGTGTGTGTGTGTGTGTGTGTGTGTGTGTGTGTGTGTGTGCGTGTGTGAGTGTTTGTGTGCGTGCGTGTGTGAGTGTTTGTGTGCGTGCGTGTGTGTGTGAATGGAGGTGCGTATGAATGCGTACGTGTACTTAATGCTCATACATATATCTACATATCAAAGAATTACGTGCATATCATATAAAAGATGCATGTGCTGTACACTCACCTGTCAATCATGTACGATTGACCAAGATTCACCCACCAGCTTGGATCAGCCTCTAATGCAGTGTGTGTACAGTACCAAGCGTGGTAGTTGCTATTGGTGTTCCCGTTAACAGCAAATCTTGCAGCCCCCCTACCACTGCTCTGGTCTTCATAGTCACTTGTTTGGAACGCTGCCTTCCCCAGAGCGACATTGACACCTGTCGCAGGTAAGAGGACTGTAATTATCAGTTACATCGATGACTTGAGTTGAACGAAGGTTTCTATTCATAAGCGTTTTCCTATTTTATTTTCTTCAGCGGCCCGAAAAGCGCCAATCTCCCGACATCTTCTACGTCTAATCAATGAATGCGATTTTATACATAATGTGATTTTCATGTTCTAACGGTATCTCAGACGTATTTACGTTAATTTAAGATGTGATAACGTTAAAATTATTGAAGCTCACAAGAGAATACGCTATATAACGTTATATTATGTTAATTACGGCCTTATTTCCATACTGAGACAGATCCTCCCGGCAATCTTGACATAAACTCTACATATTTCATGGTGGTATGAGATCTCCGAATTCTTGTTTGATACGCTGTCGTTTCATCAATGATATGCTTGAATAAATGCCATGCGCTATACCGGGCATACTTAATTATGGGTTCACCACACCATATTGCTTTTTCTGGTGTTTCTTCTTCTTCTCCTCCTTCTTCTTCTCCTGCCATTTTTTAAATGGATTCAGCTTCTTCATTTTAGGGCCTAAGGTCCTGAAATTTGGTATGGAGGTACAGTGGGCAAATACCCCTAGGCGTTTTTTAAATTTTTGTGATACAGGCTTTTAGAATGGTTTTATTTGAGTTTTTTGGCTGTGTTATAGCAAATGTATTACTGTGTTAGTGTGCCATGTTTACCACGTTTGGGTATGACTCATCACAATGGAATGCAGGGCATCAACCAATAGGCATGCAGCTTTCCACTATTCTTCTTGCTGATTGGCTGTTGGGATTTAACTTAATTAACACCTGCACAGAGCATTTCCACCTGCACAGAGCATTTCTTGCTGATTGGCTGTTGGGATTTAACTTGATTAACACCTGCACAGAGCATTTCCATACTGACAGTATGTCTGTATTCAAGTGTTTTGGTAGGTATTTCAAGCTTTCCTGCTCCAGCATTGGAATGCGGGGCATGAACGTTATTTTTATTTTGAAAATCAACAGTTTGCATTATGCAATTAAAAATCCTAACCAATAAAGTAGGGAATAGCTATCCAACTGTTGTTTTAGTCGTATGTTACTTCATATTATAGTTATATCAATGTAAATCATTGTTTTCCCCTGTGTTTCTCATTCTTTCCCTGCCATGTCGTGAAATGTGGTGAACCCATCGCTGTATTTGCTCCAAAGCAAATATTGGCCTTTCTAGTTACAAAGTTACATTCTGATCAGTAAGTCTGCTCTCATTTTCAGACACCCCAGATTCAAATTATGGCGTAACTTCTTGAGTTAACGTGCTAAACCACATACATACATACAATGATATATACATACATACATACATACACATACACATATACATACACAAATACATAACATCCTAAGTAGCTCTTAAGACACAAGGCCAAATACAATATCATAATGTCGAGCGCGGCCACAATTACTGGAGCAAGAAAACACGAAAAGTACCGACCACTATGACCACGACACTCAAAAATTATTACTTACTGTTGCAATTGGGCTGTACACCCGACCAAGTCTGGTCGGCCTGGCAAGTTCTGTTTTCAGAGCCGATTAGTTCGTATCCTTCGTCACAGGAAAAGGTGACTGTGTCTCCGTAAAGATGACCCTCCGTCCTGGTGGCGTTGTTTGGCAATGGCAGCTCTGGGCAGGCTTTTTCTGACAAAAGAAAAAAAAAAAACATAACTATTAAAAGACCCTAAGTTGCTTTAGGTATGAAAGGCTACGCTCCATGTCAGGCAAATTTGTTGCCAAATACAAGACGAGTGATCACATGTACTGGAGCAATGATTGACAAGGTACTAGTCCCTACCACTTGCACTATGAAAACAAAACTGTTAGAAATGGCCACTTACTGGAGCAATTGGGTTGTACACCCGACCAGCTCTGGTCGGCCTGGCAAGTTCTGTTTTCAGAACCGATCAGTTCGTAGCCTTCGTCACAGTAAAGGGGGCTATGTCTCCGTAAAGATAACCCTCCGTCCTGTTGCCGTTGTTTAGAATCGGCAGCTCTGGGCAGGCTTTTCCTAAAAACACATAAGGTCCTAAGTAGCTCTTCAGACATATGTATGGCCAAATACAATACCATAATGTCGAGCGCGGCCACAATTACTGGAGCAAGAAAACACGAAAAGTACTGACCACTATGACCACGACACTCAAAAATTATTACTTACTGTTGCAATTGGGCTGTACACCCGACCAAGTCTGGTCGGCCTGGCAAGTTCTGTTTTCAGAGCCGATCAGTTCGTATCCTTCGTCACAGGAAAAGGTGACTGTGTCTCCGTAAAGATGACCTTCCGTCCTGTTGCCGTTGTTTGGCAATGGCAGCTCTTGGCAGACTTTTCCTGAAAAAACGCATAAGACCCTAAGTAGCTTTAGGTATGAAAGACTACGCGCAATTTGCGACAGATTGGTTGCCAAATATAAGATCCTAATTAGCTCTTCAGACATACATATTGCCAAATACAATACCATAATGTCGAGAGCGGCCACGATCACTGGAGCTAGAAAACCTGAAAAGTACCGACCACTATGACCACGACACTGTCAAAAATTATCACTTACTGTTGCAATTGGGCTGTACACCCGACCAAGTCTGGTCGGCCTGGCAAGTTCTGTTTTCAGAACCGATCAGTTCGTAGCCTTCGTTACAGGAAAAGGTGACTGTGTCTCCGTACATATGGCCCTCTGTTCTGTTGCCGTTGTTCAGAAGCGGAAGGTCTGGACAGGCTTTTCCTAAAAACGCATTAGATACTAAGTAGCTCTTTAAACATATGTATTGCCAAATATAGTACCATAATGTCGAGAGCAGCCACAATCACTGGAGCAATGAAACCCCGAAAATTACCGACCATTAACGTCTATGACCACGACACTGTTAAGAATTATCGCTTACTGTTGCAATTGGGCTGTACACCCGACCAAGTCTGGTCGACCTGGCAAGTTCTGTTTTCAGAACCGATCAGTTCGTAGCCTTCGTCACAGGAAAAGGTGACTGTGTCTCCGTAAAGATGACCTTCCGTCCTGTTGCCGTTGTTTGGCAATGGCAGCTCTGGGCAGACTTTTCCTAAAAACGCATAAGATACTAAGTAGCTCTTTAAACATATGTATTGCCAAATATAGTACCATAATGTCTAGAGCAGCCACAATCACTGGAGCAATGAAACCCCGAAAATTACCGACCACTAGCGTCTATGACCACGACACTGTTAAAAATTATCT